AATAATAATTAAATATAATATATTTTTAAAATTGATTTGATGTTTTCTAAATTTTAAACTCAACGCAATTTCCAACACAATCAACACACCCTGTAAGGGGTGCCATTAGCACCCCCTATGTTTGATGTACAAAAAGAATCGCAAGGACGGTCGCCATTCTGAACTGACAACGTCTCTGGGATTCCGACGAATTTCAACTATCACGAATGGCGACTCTCAATTTGGGATCATCAATCCCCGTCCCAAGCATCAAAGAACTCGTAGCCCAACCTCTCGACACCGTGCCTCTGCGGTACATAAGGGACCTCGACGCTGACTATCCTACCGCTGCCGCTTTCCCCGGCGACTCTTCAGTTCAGCTGCCGCTCTTGGATATGGCCAAGCTCGTTGACCCACAATATCAAGAGATAGAACTTCAAAAGCTTCATGATGCATGCAAAAATTGGGGCATCTTTCAGGTCAATCATATTCATCTGTTCTACAATTCCTTTTCTTAATCATCTTATTTTGTGAGAATTGAAACAGCAGGATCGCTTAATTAGACTGCAATTTATCTAGTAGTTATATATCACTATTTGGTAGCGGCTTAATGATACAGTCAATTGAAAAACACAGTTCTTTTTCTCTATGAAAAAACCCTCTCAAAACAAAAGGCTTCACGATCTATAATGATAGATTGCTCCACACAGACAACTTTATCTATACAAGACTTAATAGAAAATCAACCAAACAGCCAACTTTGTGATCGATTCTTACATTTCTACGTTCTGCTTAATCTCTTAAGTTGCAGTTAATAGGTCATGGAGTTCCCGATGAATCGCTAAAAGCTATGCATAAAAAAACTCAAGAGTTCTTCGACCTATCCCCTGAAGATAAAAACCAGTATGCACAAAAACCTGGAAGTCTAGAAGGTTATGGTCAAGCGTTTGTGATATCCGAAGACCAAAAGCTGGAATGGTGTGATATGATCTTCCTCAAGGCCATTCCCACTCACACGAGGAAATTAGAGTTTTGGCCCGAAGAACAACCTCGCAATTTCCGGTATGATGATTACTTTGTTATTTCCCCCCGTGAAAAAGGTCGAAATACGAGTTTTGAAGTACATAATCGATATGGATCTTGCTGCATTTACTTTACTTGTCGAGTTTGTTAGGAACTAACACACACACTACAACAAAATTGAGTTTGAGTTCATAGTATGCAGATAGTATCCTATTTTGTAGGACCAAATCTTTGTATGTCCTATGTTGTAATAGGTTTATAAAACATGTTTGGGCGTCTTAACAAGCTTTTTAGGACACTTTTAAAACAAAATGTCTTATCAGCCCTTTTATAGGACACTTTTAAGAAGTGTCATGTAGAACACATCTTTCAATAGGACACTTGTTCAGTAAGATACATTTTCAAATAGTATCCTATAAAGGGCTAATATAACACTTTGTTTCAGAAGTGTTCTAAAAAATTGTTAAAGACGTCCAAAAATGTCATATAAACTTGTTACAACACCTTTAGACAGGACATATAAGTGTTTTGTTCTATAAACTTAAGTCCTATAAAGTAGTTTATTAGGACGCTCGGCCATTTTTGGTCACTATAAACCCAATTTTGTCGTAGTGACATGTTTAATTGGCCTCTTTATTGTTGAATAAACTATTTTTGGGCCACTCTACTATCAAGTTTATTTAATAATGTTCGATGTTTTGAGTTTCTTTTGTTTATTATTGAGTTCGAGTGACGAAAAAAGAAAGTTGTTTTTATGTGAATTAGGGAAGCATTGCATGTATACTCGCATGATATGAGGAAGACTGCAGTTTCCATAATTGGGTTCATAGCCATGGCTTTGGGGCTCGATTTCAAAGATTTCCGTGAGGTTTTTGAAGGAGGAAACTATGATGTGAGGATGAATTGCTACCCACCTTGTCCTGAGCCTGAACGGGTTATTGGTATATCGTCTCATGCTGACTTATCTGGAATCACACTCTTGACTGATTGCGGTGATATCCCTGGATTGCAAGTCCTAAAAGATGGCCGATGGGTGTTTGTTGAACCTATAACGGATGGAATGGTTGTAAATATTGGCATCATAATGGAGGTATGTCAACTCGGACTTCCTTTTTTAGAATACGTAACTTTGACCTTCAAGGTTAAATGAACTACTTTTTAACTTGAAATTTAGAATGTTTGGTTGGTTTTCTATCAAGTCCTGACTGGGAAGGTTCTTGTTTAGGAGGGTTTTGTCATAGATGGAAGAAACAGTTTTTAGTTGGAAGGGGCAGGTTTGGAAAAAACTTGGCTTTCTGCATATAGCTCTCATGAAGAAGCTTACTGAAGAAGTCAATTTCTATATGACTATATCATTAAGTCACTACCATATAGTCATGTATAGGTGATTGAATAAGCTGCGAGTCCCATTAAGCTGCTAACAAACATACTCCCTCTATTTCCTTTCGTATTTAGCATGCTTACACTAAAAACAACGTCCTTTTATCTTTTATTGGTGTTTTGATTATTGCAGATAGTGAGCAATGGAGTTTACAAAGCTCCTTATCACAGAGCGGCAGTAAATAGACATAAAGACAGGTTTTCGATAGTCACATTTTGCTATCCGTCCAAGAAGTTTGACATTAAGCCAGCCAAAGAACTGATCAATCCAGACTCATTGGCTTTATACAAGTCCTTTACAAACGATGAATACTTTCGAAGCTTCTACGAACGCACTGAACTCAGTGATGACGGGGTTCCATTCATTGATACCGTGAAAATCTAACACCACGAAGAGCTTCAAATTCCTGTAAGTTGGTCTTACATTGAAACTTCCACAATCTCCCTTAGTTTTCTTTGAGGGTTTTGGAGTATGAGTTATAATTATAGATTGATAGCAATTTACAGCAACATGCATCTAAAGTCTGCATGAAATAAGCCAACCAATACTTGCTAAACAGTCCTAACAAGTGCTAGATGTTACATTTTTATGATCATGAATATGCTAAACAACCATCTCTAGATGTGGATGTACACCACCTCATTGGTAGCAAAACCACATTAAATCCTCGTGTTGTTATTGTTTTGGCTTGTTAGCAAAACCACAGACACAAGTTGTTACAAAGTAAGTTATGGAATTTACAATGGACTCGATGAATAAATGGTTTTTTTATGAATATTTTTATTCATGAAATAATGAGCTTTTGTAAACATGTTTAATTTATAATATTGTAATTAAATCACCTCCACCCTAAGTTAAACTGGTGCTTGTTGGTGTACCTGGTGAATTAAGCATGTGAATTTTTTTTATTATTCTGTTATTGTTTATGCTAAAGTAATTAAATATTTTCCATGCAATTTTTTTCTTCATATTTTTCGTTCTTATGGTTTTATCTATACCATATTAAAAAAGACCAAGTTATGATTATCTTGAATTTTTAATAGGTACAACCAATTAAGGATATTGTACAACTCTTAAAGCTTACAACCTCCTACGATCTATCACCAAATCATTTAAATTTCAATATTACATTTCTATCACCAAATCATTTAAATTTCAATATTACATTTAAATCCTGGAGCCATAATTGAACATCCCTCCCTCAAACAAAAGGCTTCTAATGCAAACTCAAAAGGATAATGGTTAGAACCTTTCACAATTAGAAGCTTCAAATGCAAACTCAAAAGGCTTCTGAATTTCACTCAGATATTCAAAAACTCGATTTTCCTAAAGCAATTCTCTTCATAAAATAAGTAGAGGTTTCGGGATCACCGCCAGTGGCATTGCCCCTAAGATCCCGCAAGGGGGCACAACCCTCTTGACCACTACCTTATAGTAATTAATCTAATGTGATAAAGACAACATTTTAGCGTGCACTATGCACCTCCTAACTCACATTATGTCTGTCCTTTTCACGTTGTCGAGCCCTTATAAATCACAACTACAACTACAACTTCACTAGAATATTTGATGACACTAAATTCACACAATAATAAAGAATCTGAAATAACAAGATTTTTAAATTGTTACTTAACGATTTAGGAATTTAAAAAGAAACAAGAAGAATCCTAATTTTAGCCAAGGCCCATTTAAAGAAGTGGTCTCATGACTTTAAGTTAAAAGCCCAAAACATCCAACATAATGCAAAAAACTCTTGAAATATTAATATCATATCATTTACAGCATTTTTAAAATGAATAAGATACAAATTTTGGCCTTTTTTTTGTTTTAGTAGATTTTTCAAAAACTTCTTCGAGATGGAGGAAGATAAAATATTATTATTTTTTTCAAATTTTGAGGGGTAAAATGTGAAAAATAGCAATTTACTTTTACGAATTTTCTTACTATAGCATTGTACTTTTAGTTTTGCTTATTACAACAATATACTTTTAAAATATTTTTTATTAGGGCATCGTACTCTAAAAAATTTACCGGTTATTGCATTAGGTAACATGTTACCTATTGAACAGGTTTTTTCTTGTCGATGTGTCAAACTTAAAATGACATGGAAGCCACATAGGATAACTTGTTACACATGAGAAATGCACGAAATAACAACTTACTTTACAAATTTCTTTTGTACTTTCAGTTTTTCTTATTACATCAATATACTTTTAACATATTTTTTTTATTAGAGAATCGTACTTTCAAAAATTTACCTGTAATAGCATTGGGTACAAGAGGTAGAACAGGTTCATAAAAAGGGGTGTTAAAAAGGTAATATGAAATCTTTGCGTTTCATATTAATTTTGTATATCAATTGCATACTAATTTGAGCATGAACCATCTTAAGTGGAATCACAACCAAAGCTCATCCCGAAAAAAAAAAGGAGGCCAAGTGAAAGGATAACTTTGAACAAACTACGGAAAAATACTGTTGCGAAAGATGGAGAAGGTAGTAGTTGTGACAAAGCGATTCCACTTGATTAAATATCATTGTTAGACTAATGTGAATAGGATGAGTTTTTTTTTTAAAAGATGTTCCACTTGTTTAGTTTTTGGCATTACAAAGTAAGCCCTGAAATTTACGATGAACGAATGGTTTTTTATGAATATTTTATTTTTGAAATAGTGATCTTTTGTAATAGAAATTGGTGATGTTATAATAAAGTAATTTTAAAAGTACAATACTATAATAAGAAATGTCATGTCAGCACTATCGTACATATAGACAGTTTACGTGGACGATGAGGTAGCAAAGAAACTTGGTATAATGGGTAAATTTAATTTAAAAAGGTTACACAATGCTATAACGGATAAATTTTTGAAAGTACGATGCCCTAATAAAAAAATATTTTGAAAGTACTTTGTTGTAATAAAAAAAATTGAATGCTATAATAAGAAAATTTGTAAAAGCAGGTTGTTATTTCGTTCAATATAAATCTTTAAAAATAATTGCTTAATACTGAGAAAATAATATTCCCCTCGTCTCAAAATAAGTATACACGTTTCTATTTTAAATGCTTCTAAAAATAATTGTATCCTCCAGTCCTAATCTAAGTGTCCTATAAGTACCTACTTTCCTAAAATAAGTGTCCTATAAGAAATTTTTTAATTCCTCTTTTACTAAGGAGCCGTTTACTAAACGTTTACTTGGTAAGTGTTTACCGAATAAATTTCCTCATCGGATAAACATGACAAGGGCCAAGAATCTTATTGGGTAAGAGCGATAAGAATGATGAAGAGTTTTATTTGGTAAGCGAATATTAGAACGCTTACCCAAGTAAGCGTTTACCCAATAAATTGTTGCATTCAATACGTTTTGGTGTACTAAATCCTTACGCATCAAAATAAATTATAGTGTTGACTCCTATAGATAAACATTTACCGAGTAAGCATTTGGGTAAACAACCCCTAAAAGTAAAATTATTATTTGACTAATTAAAATTTAAAAAGTGTAATAATTACACAGTTCTAAAAATGTGTACCTTTTTACTATGAACATTTATTTTTGGATGAATGAGGTATTTTATTAGTTTCACCAATAAGAGTTAAAAAATTAAAATTAAAATTTAATTAAATGTATTAAATTTTTAATTATATAATTAATGTTGTAATCTATAAAATGGAGATATGTTGGAGTTGAATGAAAAAAAATGAAATTTTGATTCTTGACTCTACATTTTGAAAAATCTATTAAATATGCTCTTAGGTTTCACATTCCTAACTAGAGGTGGCCAAAATTCGGTCCCGGGCCGGGCCTTAACCGGTCCCTACGGGGCCTAATCGCGACAAAAACCGGCGGTAACCGGTCCCGACATAACCGGTCCCGGTCCCGGTGATTTTTCTTGTAACCGGTCAAGGTTATTAGTAACCGGTTGTCCCAACCGGTCCCCGTCCCGGTCCCATAACCGGTCCCGACCGGGCCTATTCAAAAAAAAAAAATGATTTTTTTTAAATTTTTGGTTATTAATAAATTTTTAATATGTTATTAATATGTTTGTAATATGATATTTTGAATATGTTTTATTATAAATACATTTT